AATGTCTGTTTGTGGGAAATTTGAGGAGATGAATGGATGCATTTCGATGTTTTTTTCGAATTCTTTGAGCGTTTTGTTTTTAAAAATCTTGAACCCTATGTGGGGAGATACCAGAAAAAAAGGTCCGATCTCTACAATCTTTATAACAGATCTTGTGTTGATGGAAATATTGAGAAGCTCCAAGTCTGAATAGAATCGTATGTTAATTTTCCGTTTTATGAGCTCCATGGATACTCAAAATTTTGACCCTTTGTAGGGGAGGTACCAGAAGGAGTGGACCGATATATCCCATCTTCACACCAGATCTTGAGTTAGTAGAAATAATGGGACGTGTGTAATATGAAGAGAATCGGATGTTTATTTCGGATTCTTTGCTCGTTTTGATTCTTCAAAACTTAGATCCTTTGTGTGGGCGGTACCAGAACGAATGGTCCGATCTCTACCATCTTTATAAAGATCTTGCGTTTATGAAAATATTGAGATGTGCCAAGTCTGAATGGAATCGGATGTTAATGTAGTGTTTTAAGAGCTTGATGGATATTCAAAATTTCGACCTTTGTAGGTGAGGTACTTGATGGAGTGGACCGATATTATCCATTTTTGCACCTGACCTAGAACAGACGTAAATATCAGGATTTGCAAAGTTTGAACAAAGTTGGATTATCGATTCTCTTTCTGTGCAGAAAATATACAGTGGTGGCCATATCATATGCAACTAAGATTCATCTACGTTAAAAGGCTATATAAATTTGTAAATTTCACAACGAAGTATATAAAGATGGGTTAATTATAGTCAATACGTTCTTACGATTTCAAATTATTATCAAAATGTGCAGCTTTTGTTTATATCTCTATGTTCACAGGTGTTTTGTTGACAAATATGAAATTTGGTGTGGTCAAAACATATGCAACTTTATATATTTGGTTTAAATAACGGCATTTTTACAATTTCCTTTGTTCTATTGTTCTTCTTATTATTAGCTAGAGACACTGCGTAAAGAGATTTAAAGCTACCTTCACATTTTTATTGCGTTGTTTTTTCACAAAGCTACAATAGAGTTTGGTCAAAAATGGCACGCGATAAATTTGGATTTGAGCTCAGACAACGAATTGTGACTGCGTATTCTTCTGGATTATCACAGAAATGTATTGCCGAGAAATATACCGTTCATAAAAGCTCCATATCGCGCATCATTAATAATTACAAAAAAAATTCACAAGTCTCTGTTATACACCGTGGTGGTCGAAGTCGAAAAACAAGCGATCGGACGGACAAATTAATAATCAGACACGTGAAAAAAGACCCATTTATATCTTCCTCTAAGATAGTGGAAAGATTTCAGTTGCCAGTTTCTGCTCGCACCATCCGTAGAAGACTTTTACAAGCCTCCCTCTGCGCAAGACGTCCTGCAAAAAAACCACTGATATCGAAGCGAAACCAGAAAAAGCGTTTGGAATTTGCTAAAGCTCATATAAATTGGACAGAGAGTAAATGGAGAACTATATTATTTAGTGATGAGTCCAAATTTAACATCATTGGTAGCGATGGCATGTGCTATGTAAGGCGACCAGAAGGAAAACGACTCGAAGCACGTTACTGTAAAAAAACGGTCAAGCATGGAGGGGGCAATATAATGGTGTGGGGTTGTTTTTCTGGTGCTGGAGTTGGCCCCCTACATAGAATTGTTGGTATTATGGATAGATTTATGTATAAAGACATATTGCAAAGGGTAATGCTCCCATTCGCAGAATATAATATGCCATTGCGGTGGGTCTTTCAACAGGACAACGACCCCAAACACGCTTCGAAGGTGGTCAAATCGTGGTTTGCCGATAATAGAGTTACGGTAATGGAATGGCCACCCCAATCCCCAGATTTAAACCCAATAGAGAACCTGTGGGAAATCGTAAACAAAAAAATTGATCGAGAAAATTGTACAAGTTTAGATGTTTTATTTTGCCGGCTGGAAGATGCCTGGAAATCAATCCCAAAAAGCGTCATTGACAATCTTATAGCGTCAATGCCTCGAAGATGTCAGGCTGTAATCGACAACAACGGATTTGCAACAAAATATTAACTTTATTTGCACTTTACTGAGCTCGATTTAATTAGTTGTATATGTTTTGGCCACTTCATAATAAGACTGAATATCTTTTTCTAATTTTTTGTATAAATGAATTGAATATCTATGGAGTATATGTTTTTTTCTTAAACTACAAGCAATAAAAAATAATATTTAAAAAAATAATTGCATAATTTTGTTTTCAGAAAAATTTTTCACGGTTTTTGGTAAAGGTTAGATTTTAGTTGCATATGATATGGCCACCACTGTATATATTTTTTGAAAATCTCGATCATTTGTGTGGGAGGTACCAGAAGGAGTGGACCGATATATTCCATCTTAACATCAGAGCTTGGGTTAACATAAATATTGGCATGTGTGAAATTTGAAGACAATCGAACTCTTAAATCACATTTTATGAGAGTTGTAATTATTCAAAATTTTGACCATTTGTGGGGGAGGTACTTGAAGGAGTGAACCGATATTGTCCATTTTCGGACCAGACCTAGCACTGATGCAAATATTCGAATTTTCAAAGTTGGACCAAAATCGGATCATCGTTTTTCTTTCTGTGCAAAAATATATGATTTGCAAATTTCGACCTTTTGTGGGGAGGTACCAGAAGGAGTGGACCGATATTGTCCATTTTTACACCTTACGTAAAACTGATGCAAATATTAGGATTTGCAAAGTTGGAGCAAAATCGGATTATCCCTTCTCTTTCTGTGCAAAAAATATTTTTTTTGCAAATTTCGACCTTTTGTGGGGGAGGTACCAGAAGGAGTGGACCGATATTGCTCATCTTAACACCAGACTTTGGGTTAATATAAATATTGGGATGTGTAAAATTTGAAGACAATCGGACTCTTAAGTCACATTTTATGAGAGTTGTAATTATTCAAAATTTTGACCATTTTTGGGGGAGGTACTTGATGGAGTGGACCGATATTGTCCATTTTCACACCTGACCTAGCACTGATGCAAATATTAGGATTTGCAAAATTTGGAGCAAAATCGGATTTTTCCTTCTCTTTCTGTGCAAAGAATAAATTTTTTGCAATTTTCGACCTTTTGTGGGGGAGGTACTAGAAGGAGTGGGCCGATATTGCCCATCTTCGAACTCGATCTAAGTTTGACAAAAATATTACGATGTACCAAGTTTGGACCAAATCGGATACTTCCTTCGAAAGTTATCGTGCGCACCAGCCAGACAGACAGACGGACGGACGGACGGACATCGCTAGATCGACTCAAAATGTTCTGAAACGGATTTGGTCCAAAGAGACCTAGGGTCTAAAGCCGTTATTTCGACTAGGCACGTTTTGACCGTATCAAATGATATATACCCTCTGTAGCCATATGGCTGAGGGTATAATTATTCCAGTGACAGCTCATTATATTTTTTACAAGCGTACAAAAGCATTTTAGTGAGTATTTTCCAGAAAAAAAGTTATTCGTGATGGGATTCAAACGTGATTTCTTTACATTTGGCTGGAAAACCACAAGTGGCTATCGTTAGAGCAGTCCAGCATTGAAATTTGAATAAATCGTTTGTGTCTCGTACCATCGCTCGTTACCGTGATACTTGTACCGTAGCCCGACGTCAAGGAAGTGGACGGAGGAAAACAGCAACATCAGCAGAAATGGTTGGAAAAGTAAAGAAGCGGCTTGATCGAAACCTGCGTCGCAGTGGCCGAAAAATTACTAGTGAGATGAACATATCGCAATATTCCATTCGGCAAATATTGAAAAATGAGCTCGGGGTAAAGCCTTTGAAATTCCAAAAAGTGCAAGAACTTACACCGCACCAGAAAGAAAATATACTCAACAGAGCTAAAGAGTTGATTCGCTTGGCCGAAAGTGGTGAACTGCCGAATTTGGCCGCAGACCTTGGACATTCCAACAGGACACAGCAACATTGCACTCAGCACGCGACACCCAAGAATGGTTTCAAAATGAGGTTCCTCGCTTCATTTCCAGCGCACAACGCCCACCAAAATTCCTGATACAAATCCGTTAGACTATTGTGTCTGGAGTATTTTGGAAAGCATGTTTGGCACTTAAAAATACCTAATTGTCGATCAAAATACCGCAGAGCAACGTTCGGGCAGCTAGTAACAGTTTCATTGGCCGTTTGAAAGCCATAATTCGTTAACCGTAAAATGGTGTTTAAATTAAAATGGTGTAAAAAATAAAATTTGAATTATTATCTATGCAACCTTCTAATGACACTGTGCCCAAGGTGTAATGGAAAATATCGAATTCAAATCGAATATATTGTATAAATTTAAATGCAGTGGTTTTTGTTGTTCCTCTGCAAATGCACCTTCACTTGCAGAATAATAATTGAAAACGAAAACTTTCAATAATAAGTAATTTTTATTGATTTATTTCGATTGGAATTGTGTTTCAAGTTCAAGCACGAACAAATGTTAATGGCCCATTATGATATTTTGATATTTTTTAAATTCATTATTTATGTAATATGTGCTGTAAGTTTATACCATTTTACAAAAAAAAACACTATTAAGGCGATGCACAATTAAACTCCAACTCAGGTTAAATCAAGTTTTCGAAACACATCTTCTCGGCCGCCGACACTTTTCTCGTTACAAAACTACAACTAATTGAAGACTAATCCAAATGGTTTTATTTATACACTTCCCTGCGGAACTTTATTTGGCCACAAAAGTTGCTCCGTTTGAGGAATGGCGTCAAATCACGCACATCACCCGTATGTGCGGGAGATCCTGTCACATTTGATATATCTTCATTTCGATTAAATGTGGCAAATTTGTCGGATAACTTGTGGAGTGTTGCTGTTCAACCCTTTGAATGCCGTCCATATCATTCAGTCTGTCTGTCTGTCTGGCATTTAATTGTCGGTAATAAAAATTGGAAATAAAACATGCATTTGGGGTTAAATTGATTACTTACAACTGAATGCGATTCATCGCGAGGGGGGTTTTTTTAGGTTATTTTCTGGATAAATGGTTCACAAATTCACTCTGTTTTGTGTTTCCTGTTTCCTTTGGCGCTTAATGAAGAAATCTGGCTGCAGGATATGATATTAATGGAATATGTGACGTGGGTGGACTACGGTGGTTGGAACGGAAATGAAGTTTAACCTTTGACAGTGACTGGCAAAGAGTTATGAGCTGTGAGCTGTAAAAACGTGTTCACATGACAGAAAGGCGAACAATAACAACAAAAATGGAAAGTAGCAAAGCTAGCAACGAAATGAGAACAATATAATGATAACGCTATTATAATGATGGCAGTATGTAGGTAGGCAATCACCGCTGGTATCCACATGAATAGACAAACGAATTTCTTCCTTTGACTGCATGGGCCCAAAATATTGTTTGCAAATCAAGGTGACCAGGTTGGGGAATTAAAGGATGAAATGTTGAATGTAAATAACTTCTCTGAATGGCTTCATAGGTTTATCTGAGCCAAAAAGTATGTAGCATTTTTATATATTGGTAACATACCCACAATAAACACTAATTATCTCGTTAATCTGATCAAGATATGTGGGTCCGTCCATGCGTTTGTTGATGTTAAATTGTAATCACTCTACAGATCGTAAATATTGTTTGGTTATGATAAAATTTTACATGCGACTATGGCTAGGATAAGATGATCGAAAAACATTTAGGGGATAAAATGGACCAAAAATAATTTTTCGGATTTTTTTGCCAGTCTACCGGTCACAATTATAAACCAATAGGCCCGGCATTTTTTACGAGTTTAGAGTTTAAGTCGGGTCCAAAAATACCACAGACCCTAGGCCTGGACCAAATACGTTTCAGGACATTTGGAATCGAAATAGCGATGTCCGTCCGTCTGTCTAACTGCCTGGTGCGCACTATAACTCCCGAAAGGAGTATCCGCTTTGATCCAAACTTGGTACATCGTAATATTATTGTTAAACTTAGATCGAGTTCGGAGATGGGCAATTTCGGTCCACTCCTTTTGGTACCTCCCCCATAAAATGACAACATTTTCAAAGAAAATAATTTACTGCACAGAAAGAGAAACGATATTCCGATTTTGCTTCAACTTTGCATATCCTAATATTTTCATCAGTGCTAGGTCAGGTGCGAAAATTGACAATATCTGTCCACTCCATCAAGTACCTCCATCACAAACTGTCAATATTATATAATGTGATATAAGAGTCCGATTATCTTCAAAGTACACACATTACAATATTTTTACTATTCTACGCCTTTTGGTACCTCCCCCACAAAGTGTCAAAATTTTGTATATTCATGAAGCTCATAAAACACGAAATTAACATCCGATTCCATTCGGACTTGGCACATCTCCATATTTGTACAAACACAAGGTTTCTTATAAAGATGGTAGAGATCGGACCATTCCTTCTGGTACTTCCCCCACAAAGGGTGAACATTTTGAATAACCAAAACGATCATAAAATCCGAAATAAGCATCCGGTTCTCTTAAAATTACACACATCACAATATTTGTATTTGTCTGGTGTGAAGATATATCGGTCCACGCCTTGTTGTACCTCCCCACAAAGGGTCAAAATTTTGAGTATCCATGAATCTCATAAAACGCAAAAATAACGTGCGATTCCATTCCGACCTAATACATCTCAAAATGTTCATCAACACAAGATCTTTTATAAAGAGATCGCACCATTTCTTGTGGTACCTTCCCACATGGGGTTTAAGATTTTGGAAAACAAAACGCTCAAAGAAAGCGAAATAAACATCCAAATCCATCTTCCTGTACCTCACCATAAAGGGACAAATTCTTTACAACTTGCTATATTGCGATTCTTTACAACTTGCTATATCTAAATATTTCTTTTAAATCGGAATTTATTATTTCGCATAAAATTGGATATATATGTTCGATTTCCTTCAAATTTTGCACATACCAATATTTTTATTTGTATTAGATGAAGTATGAAAATTAAATACTTTGACTATATCTGTTACCCTACGCATATTTCCACATTTTCCAAAAAATGCACATATCTCATTTAAAGTACAGTACAGGAAGTAGTCGATATAGTCCAAATCTGTCACGTTGAAATACAGGGTGAGATGAATAAACTGCAACCAAATTCAAACTGCTGTCATTTCTAAGCCACCAGCTGTTAATATTAATCCAGTGACAGCTTAGTACATTGTTTACAAGCGTACAATAGCATTTTGGTGAGAATTTTCCAGAAAAAAAGTTATTTGTGATGGAATTCAAGTGTGAGAGTGATATCTTTATATTTGGCTGGAAAACCACAAGTGGCTATCGATAGAGCACTCCAGCATTTAAATGTGAATAAATCTGTTGTGTCTCGTACCATCGCTCGTTACCGTGATACTGGTAGCGTAGCCCGACGTCAAAGAAGTGGACGAAGTGGAAGAAAACAGCAAAATCAGCAGAAATGGTTCGAAAAGTAAAAAAGCGAACATATCGCAATATTCCATTCGGCAAATATTGAAAAATTAGCCATTGAAATTCCAAAAAGTGCAAATACTTACACCGCAACAGAAAGAAAATAGACTCAAAAGAGCTAAAGAGTTGCTTCCTTTGGCCGAAAGTGGTGACTGCCGAGTTTTGTTTTCTCCGATGAGAAAACATTCGTTGTCCAGAAGTTTGTAAACAAACAAAACGATCGTGTTTACTTGCCAAAGAGGTTAGCTGAAAATGTGCACCTTCGGTTGGCCACCAGAACTAAAGCGCCGGCCATGGTGATGGTGTGGGCCGCCATAACAGCCGATCGTCGCTCTCCGCTCGTATTAATCGATTGTATCATCAGAATAAATACCGACCATTATCGCGAAAATATTTTGGAGGGTGTATTAAAACCTTGGGCACGCAAACATTTTGGCCGCAGACCTTGGACATTCCAACAGGACTCAGCACCATCGCAATCAGCACGTGCCACCCAAGGAAGGTGAAAAAACAACGTTCCTCGCTTCATTTCCAGCGCACAATGGCCACCAAAATCTCCGGATTGTGTCTGAAATATTTTGAAAAACAAGTTTGGTACTAAAAAATACCAAATCATCACCTCAAGCAAGCGCTTCGCCGGGAGTGGGCCAAAATACCGCAGAGCAACATTCGGACAGCGTGTGACGGTTTCATTAGCCATTTGAAGGTCATATGTAATTTGTGCCAAAGGTGACCAAATCGAACAAATATAAACTTATTCTAAAATTTGATGCTATTTCCGAATTTTATTTTTCATTTAATAAAATTTTAAAATTATGGCGTTTGACTTTGTTGCAGTTTTTTTTTTATCTCGCCATGTATTTCCTCGAATATTGTTGTTACGGTGTGCATATTACAGCTATGGAGGATAAATTTAACAAATCGGATGATGAATATATATGAGTGCTATATCTATACTGATTTCCACAAAATTTGACATACTTGTTCCTAGGCTCAATTTGTACGTATGTGCCGAATTAAATCCAATTTGGCCTAATATTACACCTTTGGTGCCCAATTAAAAGCAAACCGGACGAAGATGTATATGGGAGCTGTATATATATGATGACCGATTATTTTCAATTTCAATAGAGTTCTTCCTTGAGCCAAAAAATGATTTCTACAAAATTTCATCTCGATCGAGAGCTGTACCTTGTTTTACAAAAATACATCAACAGACGGATAGACCTGAATAAATCAACTCAGAATGTGATTCTATGCAGATCATTAAAAGGAACTATGGGTCTACCTCGTCTCCTTCGCTATGTTACAAACAAATGCACAAAGACATAGTACCCTACCACAGTGTAGTGTGGGGTATAAAAACCGTTCATATACATAACTCATCGAGTACCCTATATATTCCAAACTTCGACCGTGATAATATTAATATCAGACGTAGGTCAGGAATTGACAAGGATTATTTTTGCTCATCGTTTCTCACATTGTATTATTTGATAGTTCACTTCACACATTGCAACACTTGAGCTTACATTAAATTTATAGTATAAATGGCATGTGTAGGTCCAATCTTCATGGTACGTCCCCCAAAATTATTATTAATGAATATATGGTCAAATGCAGAGATTTTATATTTGTCACGCCTACTTAAACTTTCTAACTTATTTTTGAATATTTGATAGATAGGACCATATAAAGCACTTTTCCCTCACCCGTAAATTAACAATATAATCGTTCATGGTTTAAAAACGAATCAGGCAATACATTTAAATCAACAATGTACGTGTGTATATTATATGATATAAAATATTTTGTGGAAAATAAATAAATAATAAATTCTTTTGAAATGCTGCAAAATAAAATCTCTTCCGTTTCGATTTGTTCTCCAAACTAATATCTAGATCTACGCTCTTGATTACGGAAAGTAATGGCCAAGATGCAAGCAGATACAAATGCTACAGCCTAAAAAAGAGACAGAAAAGATTATTAATTTTCTCGTTTTAATTTGAATTGAGGATAACTTGCCTCCACACTAAGAGTGGACCAGCTGAAAATGGTTATCCAGTGTTCGGCAGCTTCATAGACGGCAATTAACTTGTATAGACAGCCATCAGGATAAATAGCTGTGGTATTTCCAACATTTCCATTCGAGTAACAACTATCGGGTATGGTCAAATTGGCAGTGGTGTAATCGGTAGAGTTCATTTTACCACAGCAGGACAACTACAATGCAAAAACAACAACAAAATATGTGATTTCAATAGAGCAATTCGAAAAATAACAGCTGATCTCAACAAATGATCTACTTACAGTACTTTGAATTTGCGACATGGCATCGGTGCCATTCATCTGCAATTGCCAGGCCATGTCAATGTCCTTGCGAGCCTTTGTCTCGCCATCGATGTGTGAAATGTAACCGAAGTGCAGAATGGCATTGCCGGTTATCAAGAGCACCAAAAAGAAGGCATACTATCCAAAATACAGGTTGATGGCTCAATTAAATGCTCTCTGAAAACATCGATATCCTTGCAGAACAAATACTTACCGACCACGTCAAACAGATATTCTCACGAATTGCACCGCAGCAACCAAAGAAGGAAACCAAAAACACAATAGCACCTAAGACAATCCAAAAGATACAGAGCAGGCGACCCTCATCGGTGTAGTTGTTCAAGGCCAAGCAATTCACGACAATTGTGCCAATGCCCAAAAGCTGAAATGAGAATAAAAATTAGAATTCGTTGATTAAATGGATTTTAGGGAAATTATGGTGATCGGTTGGTTAGCACATGTCAGGTTATATTTACTTTGTCATTTCGATTGCAATACATTGCAATGCAAGATTATTGT